CCCACCCATTTAGACCCAAGTCTACTCTGACAGCTAACAATTAAAAAATAGCATAAAACATAAAATAGAGAACAACAATAGTATAGTAATATCGTTCAAGATGGGGAAAAGATAAAAACAATTAAGTGATGACAGGAGGAAAAGCCTGCCTAAAGAGTCAGGTCTTAAGTTGGCTCTTAAAAACACCCAGCAGGGGAGCCAGACAGATCTCTGAAGGGAGACTGTTCCAAAGGCGAGGGGCCACTGCTAAGAAGGACCAGTTTCTTGCTCTTTCTCTCCAGGCCTCCCTCGGCATTAGGCCCCTCAACCTTCCTGGCTAGAATGAGTGATTCGAGTAAATCTAGGTGGGAAGAGGTGTTCCGCTAAATATCAAGGTCCTAAACTGTTTAGGGTTTTATATGAAATCAAGTGATGACAGGAGGAAAAGCCTGCCTAAAGAGTCAGGTCTTAAGTTGGCTCTTAAAAACACCCAGCAAGGGAGCCAGACAGATCTCTGAAGGGAGACTGTTCCAAAGGCGAGGGGCCACTGCTAAGAAGGATCAGTTTCTTGTTCTTTCTCTCCAGGCCCCATGTAGAGCGCATTGCAGTGGTCTAATCTCGAGATTACAAGCACATGGACCAAAGTGGTGAGCACCCCAACCTCAAGATAGGGATGCAGCTGGGCAATCCGCCACAGATGGAAAAAGGTGGAGTGGACCACTGACACCACCTGAGTTTCCATGGTGAGCACCCAATACAGATGGACCCCAAGCTGCGAACCTGTCTTCGCGGTGAGAGTCACTCCCCCAAAAGAGAGGGAGTTTCCCAAACCACCAATGGGGGGGCCACCCACCCTTGGGACCTCCATCTTGTCCAGGTTCAGATTTAGAGCATATAATTAAATATGTAGCAAATTTACAACAATGTCCACTCCACTGGGTGAGGAGCTGTCACAGTGGCGCATTTTGTCCACCCCCCCAGCGTGGGGGGGATGGGTAGAGGCTTTAAGAGCCAGCATCCCTCTCACTCTGCCTCTTCTTCAATCAGCTGAGCAAGAGGGAAGCAACACAGCTCTGAGGAAAGCAGTTTGGCTTTCCTTGCACGTAGCTTGGCTTTGGAGGCTTTTTTCGGGTTGTAACAGTGCAGCCCACAGTTGGATTTTGTTTAAAATATTGCTTATGTGCATCTGGATAGGGAACCCTTCATGAATTTAAAATAAGAGGGAAAGCTAAGTTGAAAATAATAATAATTAATATAATAATAATAAAGTACAATTGGGAAGAAATCCATTAATTTGAGAAGCAGCCTCCAATGGGTGTGTGTGTGTGAATTAAGCACTGGAAAAATTAATTGAAGCATGAGAGGGGGATAGAAAAGAAAAGGGGGAGCGATTGAAAAGGAAAAAATGGGGAAGTTAAATGCTCCATTCAAGCAGCTGGCCCTGGGAGTGTGGATTTTGGGTTGCACAATGATGCATCCCATGGTTTGGAATTGTTTTTGTTTATCTTGGAGGAAAGGAGTATGTTCAGGAACCCCCTTGTTTTATTAAAACAACAACAACAACAACAACAACAACAACAACAACAACAGCAACAACAACAACAACAACAACAGATAAATAAAGCAACTCTCTGTGTGGGACACACTGCCTTCTGCCAGGCACAGTATTGTTGCTTACTATAAAGAAAGCCAGTATGGGGCCTAAGAAGGGTCAGGGTGCTGGCAAGGGCAAGCAGCCTGCAAAGCGTAAAGCCCCTGCAAACCCACCACTAGTGATCTCTTCATCAGAGGATGAGGAGTGGCCAGATAATAGTGCCATACTGGCAAAACTGAGTGAGTTAGAAAGGAAAAGTGCAGTGGCTCAGACTGCAGCTAGTACTGCTACTCTGAGAAGGTCACGTAGGGAATCCAAGGTTTGTAGGATGTCTGAGCTGCAACAGTTGGGTGATGTAATGTTGTTGCATATTGTCTTTTAGAGAAAGAATGTGCTGGCCCTGTAGGTACATCATTGATGGCAGGAACAAGTGGCAGCCATCACAGCACCAGTCTTGACATGGAAGCATATGTGTGGTGTGAGCCCCAGGACATCCAGAGTGCTCAGCAGATGGAACCGGTTGAAGAGGAATGGTCCTGCCAAAGTGAAGGGGCATGGTCTGGCAGGCTGTCCAAGGCTGACTACCCCTCAGCAGAGCCCAGCCTTCAGGTATCTGGTGTGTCCTCTATCAATGCTGCAGTGCCTACACTGCCAGTCACAAGTGAGTTAGCATCCACATCACACATGACACAAATTGAAGGGTTGTGACTTTGGGGGGAAGTTAGCCCTCCAGCACCCTCTCAGATGGTGCATGGTTTAACAGCTAGCAGCAGTGACAAGGGCTCACCCACTTTGGGAGTGCCTGTACTGGCTTCAAAGCCTTGGACAGCACCTTACCCACACTGGTCCTTTCCTAGTTAGAGACCAGGTTTTGTTGAAGGATTTTGACAATTCAGTCACCCCACGATACCAAACACTAGATATTACTTTGTGTCTAGGAGCGTCCTTCCATACGGTGATCAATCATTGCCATTGGGTGATCACCTTCTCCCAGCTACAATAGAGAAGATTTAAAGAGACAATTACGTGGATGTATTCGAACTCTTGAACAGAGAAATGGAAGAAAAGAAAGGGGCCAAAGAAGAGGAAGAAAAAGAGATTTAAGGGAAAAAAGCCAGAGAGATGTTGGATGAACTGGTTTCCAGGTTTGTTTTTTTTTTTTTTTGATTTATTAACGAAAAATATTCAAGGGATACCCTTCAGCATATGTTCACTTTGCAGGGCAGGTGTGGTTGCTTTATGATGAGGGATTCCATATGAGAGCAGCGATACATCCCAAAATGTGCTGGGATGTGCATCACCACAGCTTGTGGTTACAGTTAACGATCCCTTCTCATCCCAATCTGGGCGACTGTTTTGACAGCGGACATTTGATTCAGAGGAACAACAGTTACAATACCTCTCGTGCTCCAGTGGGCCAGGTGGTTCAACCACACCTGGTTTGCTGGTAATTTAACACAAAGGGGTGCAACTAGAAACCATGTTGATTTTGTCACCAGTGCTTCATATGTGGAGTGCCCCATGGTAGAGACTGAAATAGAGATGCAACTCTTTATTTGCAGGAGGAATTCACATTTGGTTTCAGGATCCCTGTGCAGGGTGTTAGGCGGCTACCATGGCAAACAATTTGAAATCAGTGAAGGGTATGGAAGATGTACTTAGAGAAAAGATTAAGAAACAAGTCTCCAAGGGACGGGTGGCTGTACCTTTTTCCAAGCCACTGGTACCAAATTTGAGAGTCTCCCCATTGGGAGTGGCCCCTAAAAAAAAGTACTGGGCAAGTTTTGCTTCATTCATCATTTCTCCTATCCAGTTGAGGAATCAGTTAACGACAAGATCCCCCAGGAGTTATGCACAGTCCATTATACTTCATTTGATGCTGCCATTCGAATGGTTAGATCCTGTGGCAATGGGACAGAGCTCATGAAGTCAGACATTAAATCGGCATTTTGCTTATTTTCTATTCTCCCAGATGATTTTGAGCTACTAGGTCTTCAATTTGAAGGGTTATATAATGGCATTGCCAACGGGGTGTTCCATTTCTTGTGCTGTGTTTGAGCACTTCAGCTGATTTTTGGAGTGGATGCTTAGGCACAGGGTGGGGCTTTCCCAGGTCATGAGTGGGCTAACAAAACCACACCACAGATGGTGGATTTCAGCTGGAATGAAAGAGGACTTGCTAATCTGGTTAAAGTTCTTAGATAGTTTTAGTGGAATTTCTTTTTGGAGGGAAGATGTGCGCTTAGGCTGCTGGGTCAACAGGATACGTTATTTACTTTAGAGGTCGATGGAGTGCCGGCCCACGGCTGATGGAATGGCGTGACTCCAAAGTCACCCATGATCTAATATTTTTGGAGTTCTTCCCAATAGTGGGAGCACTACGGCTTTGGGTGGACATATGGGCCAATTCTGTGGTCACTTTTTGGTGTGACAATATGGCTGTGGGCCATGTGGTAAATACCCTTACATCAAGATCCCAGAGGGTGATGAGATTGGTGAGAGCATTCGCCCTACGTTGTTTGAGTTATAACATTGTATTCCAGGCTCGTCATGTGCCTGGTGTAAATAATGAGCTGGCTCACGTCCTGTCCCGTCAACAGATTGACCAGTTCAGGGCGTTGGTACCAGGAGCTCAGGCTTGACCGCATGAGGTATGGAGCATTGGAGGATTGAAGCCAACAGGGCAATCAGTTTAGCAATCACTCCCAGTACTAGATGCAGCTATGCAGCTACTTGTGAAGAATTTTTTACATTTTGCAAAATGGAAGATCTGGGTAGACCTTTGCCTATGACAGTGGACCATTTTCAGCAATTTGGAGTCAATCTTCATTGCAAAGGTTTGGCTACACGCAAAATTCAAGGGAAGCTGACAGCTCTGGCCTTTTATGCAAAGGTGCAAAGGTGTCTAGATATGGAAGTGATTTTCAAATTAGAAAGATGATTGAGGGTTAGAATAATGAAAGAGGTAAACAGGAAGATAGATGTACTCCCATGTCCCCAAAAATCCTGATTCAACTGGGTCACGTTTGGGCTGTAGTGTGCAGTGACCAATACAAGGCCAAATTATTTAGAGCAGCTATGTTGTGTGCATTTTGGGGGGCATTTAGAGTGCGTGAGTTAGTAAGGGTGTCAAAAGCACACAAGTCAAAAACACGTTACAGATGGACAACTTGTTCCATCTTCGCCATTCTAAGATAGATGAGTTGGGAAAAGGTAAAGTGATAAGTTTAGGGTGTTGTTCAGTTCGGGACTTATGCCCGGTTATGGCCATTTCCAAATATGTTGAGTTACGTGGGACCTTGGCAGGAGATCTATTTTGCCACAGAGACCATACACCCCGAACAAGATACCAACTTTGGACAGTTACCTCCAAGTGGCTTCTGGAAGTGGGAATAGTGGGATGGAAATTTGGTACCTACTCTTTTTGCATAGGAGCAGCCTCCACAGCAGCAGCTTTAGGATATGGGGAGGAGCAGATAAAAAAAGATGGGAAGGTGGCCTTCACACAGGTTCAAGACATATGTACGTTCTCTGCCACAATAGATGCTTGTGTTTGTTCTTTTCAGTTTTCAAGTTGGCTACAGCACGGTTGAGAGTTGTTTTGTATGGTCAGAGTTACATACATTGAGCGGGGAAGTACACTTTGCAGACCAGTTGGGGCTATAATTTAGGCCTGGATGAGCAGGCCACGTTGGAATGGAGGAAACGGAGAGGTATGCTCTGGGGCGGTTTCTTGGAACTGGCATCCCAGGGTACTCCGGATGTACCTCCTGATATACTGGTTGTTCATCTGGGAGGAAATGACTTGACTCTAAGGATGGGCAAATCACTTGTATTACAGGTGATCAATAATTTGCAAGCCATTAAGGCCAAGTTTTCTACAACAAAACTAATTTGGTCAAATGTGATAACAAGGATGGTATGGCATGCCGTTCGTGACCCTGGGTGCATTGACCGCGCATGCAGCGATCTTAACCGGAAAATACGCAGAGCCATGCGAGCTGGACTGGGTGAATGATAAGGCACCCTGATATAAGTGTTAGTCAACCAGAGTTACACAGGAGTGATGGGGTTCACTTCTCCAATAAAGGACTGGACATTTTTCTGCAGAATCTACAAGGGGGCCTATGGGCCGAAATTTTCGACTGTTATGGTGGGCCAGGGGCATACAAATAACCCCATGCCATGGTGGGTAGTGCAAGGGAAAGAGTTGTGGTGAGTTCCTGGAGGACACATGATGGAAAAAACATCCCATCTCCCTGTTTGGTGGAGCCAGCAGGACTCTGAGGGAGGTGGCCTTTATTAAGGGGACCTCCCGGGCAGCAGTTCACCTAGGGTCATGAGGCTCGGTGGGCTGACACAGTGGGAGGTACCCCTAGCTCAGGGCACCTGAACACATGTTGGATGGAAGATAGCATGATTCAGAAATAGGAACTTGCCCTGCTTTTGAATCTGGAGGTAAAGGATAAAACGGATTTGGACAAACATCGCACTACCTTAGGCCCCCTTGTAGATGGGCAATTTAGTTTAAACAGTTAATAAAGTTGTGGCCCACATTTTCACCCAACAATCTGCATTGTATTTTTATTTCCGGGCCGGGTGGGCAAAATCATATACATGCTGTATTTATAGCACAATCCTATGCATGTCTTTTCAGGTCAGTGGATTTTCTCCCAGAAAACCAGAGGAGGATTGAACCTTTGAGTCATGAGACTGTTTCATTTTACAGTACATAGAGAGGCTTACCATAAATCTGAAGGCTGTGGTGCTTATTGTCCACACCAGCTCTGTTGGAGGCTACACATGTATACATGCCAACATCAGCTATCTGTGCTCTTACAATTCTGGAAAGAACACAAACCATGAATGTTCAGATGTCACAATATGGAATACACTCTTCTGACTGATGTCTAGTATCTTCTGGTTTCCCAGCCTAATGCCATTTTGATTTAGATTATGAGACCTTTATGCGTGCATGAAATCTATGAGTGAGAACATATCAGTAGGGCCTGTTCTAGATTTCAACAGCTTCCCATGAACATTGAGTCCCAACAACTGAAACACTATTTACTGCATGCACTACCTATGGAATGTTCTGCTAGCACCTGCTTTGAAGTATTCCAGTGCCAGCTGAAGAACCTGTTTTTCAATCCTTCTAACATTTGTGAGGCTCTTGATGTTTCATTTTATTCTCCTGTTTCATTCTTGTGCAGAATTACTGCTGTCTAGAGTTTGTAAATCCAGAAATGCTTATATTCAAGGAAAGTGCAAATTTTGAAGGGAGAAGATGGTTTTAATCAGAGCCACTGCCTATGTTGGCTGGGAGATTCTGGGAACTGTAGTTCAAAAAGTATATTTTTCCAAATTCTGATTGCAACTTACATGAATGGGCATGAAAGGCTGAACATGTTCCTTTAAATACAATATTCAGTACAGGTGGAATGCGTGATCCATGCATGCCCCGGGTGGCAATGGGAGATAAACCATTCCTGGATGGGTCCTTCTCTGCAGACAGAGAAGCTGGCTGTATCAGCAGGAGGCACCTCAGCCCTCATTTCTAGGAAGAAAATCCTTTCTATTTAGACAGTTACCAGAGTATGTCGTCTGCAGTTGGGCAAAAGAAGGTGGCTGGGATGGGGTTTTCCTAGAAGACAGTAACCTGCAGGTTGGCTTTAAGAAGTAGCCTACACTTCAAAACCTATTAGCTTTAAGCCTAGAAGAAAAGTGAATAGGTTCGTGTAATTTGGAGAACCTCCGAGTTGGCATAGCAAAGGTACTGTGGATGTTGGATTTCTTTTTTTCTTATGGCTAATACAGTTTCCTTTTGATTATTTATTCATTTATTTATTTATGTAGATAGATTTGGTATCATCTATTAGAGAACTAGCTAATCCCAGCCATTACCCCTGACCTGGGAATTTTGCAGGACATCTGAAACAGACTATAAAGGAGGCACAACTGAAATCACTTTGTGTACTTTTATCTCTGAAAACAGGTCTGGAACTGGCCAGTATCTGAACGAAAGATTGTCCAAGAGGGACAACTGCAAAATTCAAAGTGCTTGGGATACCATGGTTGAAAAGCGGTACCATCTCCAAAGAGGTTAAACCCATCCACTCCAAGCAAACAGTTTTGCCTGTTGCTTTTGTTTCTTTGGATTGGCGGAGATTTCAGTCCAGAATGAACCAGAACTTAAAACCTTACCTGAGAATCTGTCCAGCCGACAGTAACCTGATATGTGAAGATATGGAAAGAGGGAGTCCATTCTTCAACCAATTGATCTGTGGTGGTGGAGTGCCCACAGCTTGGCATTCAATGTTTATGGAAGTGTCCAGTAAAGTTGTTAGAGCCTCAGGTTCTTCTTTATTGTTAGTGATAGTTGGTGGAACTAGATTTTGTAGCCAAAGGGGATAAAATGGTTATTTACTTACAGAATTTCACATCCTTCTTTTCGAATAAAAGGGCTTATAATCAAAGCATCAGAGAATGAAAACAACAACAAAAATATCAGCAGAACCACAAAGTGATTTATACGGTTTGTCAAAATATTATGCCAGAGCAGAAGAAAAAAGGATAGTTGAAAGGCATGTTTTTTGCATCATAACTCAAAAAATCAGGAAATGGCCCAATATATGGGTAAACTGGGTAAACTTACGCACACATAAACCAGGTGAAACCTGCTTGGAGATCATGCCTGGCCAAAAAGCAAAAAATCAATAATTTTACGGCTTAAATGAGTGAGTTGCTAAATATTCTCCTTTATTGTAAAAAAATCTTCTTAAGCAGTTTCACAGGAACGAGTGAAAAAAATGTTGGCTAGAAAGGAATTAATTGCTTTCTTTCACAGTCATTGAATGTGCTTCTGAGTGGCAGGGTCAAAAGTTCAGTCCTTTTAAAATGTTGGCATTCTAAACCCAGTAAACTCATTGCTCTAAAATCTCTACTTTGAAACTGTCAATTACAGCCATGAATGGCTGAATTCCTGTGAAATAAAAAAGTGGGTGGGACTGACAATTCAAATTTGGTCTTATCAATGTATTTGGTCTGTTTTAAATCATCCAGAGCTCAAGGTCACTTGGTTGTGCATGAGGGTAAAACAGTATTACTTTTTTAAAAATCACAACTCAAAAGACTTTTGCCCAAATGTCTCCAGCTTTGGTGCAGGAGAAGAACAGGCTTTCTACTACATCCATGCCAAATTTGGTGCTGAAACAGTTCCATACTTATAATTTTTGTTTGGGGCACCCCTATTTTCTGTATTGGTTTATAGAATGCTGAATCCTGCTATAAGCACAATATTGATGCCCTCCTAGGCACCAGTAATACTCTGGGAAAAACAATTTTGCTGAATAAGATTGTCTGTACAGCTGATCTGAAATTGAGCAAATTGAGATCCAAGCAGAGGTTTATTCAGATCTTGGCTAGATCTTAACTGAGGTACCTGCCCCACCTTTCAGACAGAAGACTTACTTAGATTAGCAGAGTCAGCCCCATCATTACACGAGTGAGGCAGTTTTTCCAGGAGGCAGAAGTTGGGGGTGTGAGGCAGCAACATGGCTGACGAGAGAGAGAGAGATGTGGCACTAAGCCAACTTTGAGCAACTCACGTGTTGCAGAGGATGCTGTCCCACCACCAGGGTTGAAGAAAGATTCAACAGTCAGTCAAGTCAGGGGGAACTGGGAAGGGGGACACCTTGCTTTTTGCCTCAGAAGAGGAACAATGTTATTGGTGCTCTCATGTGTTTAAAATGGATATTTCAAATGACTCCTGTTGAAGCAGTTCACCTTGTGCTGAACTCCAAGATGGCAATAATGCTACCTCTCTAATCTAAGGAAACATTCCTAACAGCGCTCTAAATTGAATAAACCAAATCCAAAAAATGTAATCACCAACCCCTGGTGCTCTCATCTTGGCCAGATCATGTTCAATTTCCTTTTAAATCTATCTTAGAATTGTGTCAACAGCCATAAATGAATTCCTGCTTGATCTATCAAAGGGCACAAACAATTATGCCTTAACATTTCTCAGCTATATCTTGCCAATACATAGTATCATATATCATTCCACCCTGTTGTGTGTCTTTTCTTTTTGAAAGCCACCATTCATACGTTTTTCAAAAATGACTTAATAACCCTGTTCTTTATCAGTCCCAAGATAATTAGGAAAAAGGAAATTGAGTCTGAAGGAAGACAAAAAGAACAGTTATTCTATCTCCCGGCACTGATGCAGAATTTGCCAGACTCCATGACAAAATTGGCACACTAAAAGTAACAGTTTCACAGTTATGCAGAGCACATGCTCTCACTGATAGTATTATATATAAATGGGCACATTTATATTCCTGCAGAAGCAACCTGGTTATCTCCAGATGTCTTAGACTACAATCCTTAACCACCAGCTTTGCTAGCAGAATCATAAAATAATTGAGTTGGAAGGAGTCTATAAGGCCATTGAGTCCAACTCCTTGCTCAGTGCAAGTATTCAAATCAAAGCAATTCTGACAGATGGTTGTCCAATTTGCTCTTAAATGCTTCTAGCATTAGGGTATGAGGATTATAGTTCAAAACCTCTGGAGTACATCACATTGCCTATTGAAGTTAAATACATGACACAAAGAGGGAGGCAAGCTGTCTCTCCTCACCATCAGATGTATCTGACACATATTTCTCATATATTTTAAAATCTTTTTGGCAGGTCACTAAGAAAATCCACTAAGAAAGGATAAGCAGCCTCCAAAACCACTGAAAACAGGTAGGTCTTCAGTGCTTTCCCAAAGACCTGCAGTAATAATAATGGCATGCGGTCAATTCTGACTTATGGCACCCCTTTTCATGGTTTTCTAGGCAGACAATACTCTGAAACCGTTCATCAATCCCTTCTCCTTGGGGTGCCCTGGGATGGTACATCTTGCCCAAGGCCATACAGGATGGCTCTGCTTGCAGGAGACACTGTGGAAATTGAAATCCCAACCTCTGGCTCTGCAGCCAGATACCTAAACCACTGAGCTATCCAGCCAGCTCAGATCTGCAGATGATGAGGCCTAATGATTTCTTAACTTATGGCATTCCATGTCTAAAAGTTATTCCATTTGCATAACTGTGCAACAGGATTTCAGCCAATGAGAGATTGCAGCAGAGCATACTTCCTAACCCATGGGAGGTAGCTAGACGGTTCACGAGCTGCACAGTGGCAGAGAAAAAGGCAATTCAAGGGGTGATCAAGACGGCCCAAAACATCATTGGCTGTTCACTCCCCTCTTTGGAAGAATTGTATAAGAACAGATGTAAGAGGAAGATATCTAACATACTGAAAGACTCCTCTCATCCGGGATATCAGCTCTTTAAACTATTACCATCAGGAAGGAGATTCAGGGTATTGAAAGCAAGGACAAGCAGATTCAAGAACAGTTTTTACCCAAGTGCAGTATTGAGTTTAAATG